GTTAACCACATCTTCTGGGGATGTTGAACTGGAAAGACTTGGATAACAGTGAGGCAAGTGTCTCCTTATGTGAGGCCTCAAGGGTGGTGGTTGATGTTAGGAATGTTGTCCTGAGGATATTCTGGAAAAGAGCTTTTATATGTGTATTGGTTACTTTCCTGTTGCTGTAATGAAATACCATGACCAAAAGCAACTTACAGAAGAAGGGGTTTATTTTGGATTAAAGATCCTGAAGGAGAGTTCACAATGTCAGGGAAGGCATGGCAGCAGGCTGCTGGAGCAGGAAGCTAAGAGATCACATCTTTAACCACAAACACAATGCAGAGAGAGCAACGGGAAATGGGGCAAGACTATGAACTCTCAATGACCACCCTCAGTGATATATTTCCTCCACCAAGGCTAACCCTCTGAAAGATTCCATGACCTCCCCAAACAGCACCACCAACTGGGGACCAAGTGTTCAAATTCATGAGTTTATGGGTGATATTTCTCAATCAAACCACTACAGTATAGAAATTTTGTTTTCTTCCCCCTATTTTTGAAACAGGGTCCCATGATTCCTAGGCTAGCCCAGAACTTTCAATGTAGTTGAGGATGACTTTGAATTCTTGATCCTTCTGCCTGTGTCTCCTGAATGTTGGAATCATAAACATGCAGCTACCACATCCAATAACTTAGCACATTTGTTCATCTTGTAATATCACTTTATTTGGTAAATATACACATAAGCAAAATAGTTTAAATTCCTAATTTGTTTTGTCATATCATATGAGCCAATCTGATAAATCCCCTTTTAATATGTACCTTCATTATATCAGTTCTGTTCCTTTAGAGAACCCTGACTAATAGAGATTATGGTATCAGGAGTGGGGCTGTTGCTGTAAAGAACCTGATGTATTGTTTTCTAGAGGAATGTGGACTACTTTAGGACTCTGGGCTAGGAAGATCATTGAATGCTGTAAGCAGAGTTGAATGCGCTGTCAAGACAGTAGTGCTGAGAGTGATGTAGACAGTAGAAGCCTGGCCTATGCAGTTTCATAGGGGAATAAAATCTCTATTAGCAGCTTGGTTGGAGTCATTCACATGATATTTTGGCAAAGAATCTTGGCTCCATTCTTCCCATTCTGCCCATTCTGTCCTAAGAATTTGAATGAGGCTAAATTAGAAGATAACTAATACACTTGAAAAAACTGCTGGTCTAGGGATGTAGCTTAGTTGGTAGAGTGCTTACCTACCAAGCACAAAGTCCTATGTTTAATCCCCAGCACCATATAAACCAGGTGTAGTGGTGCACACCTGTAACCCCATCACTTAACTGGTAGAAACAGGAAGATTGGGAGTTCAGGGTCATCCTTGTCTACAAATGGAGCTCTAGGCTAGACTGGGCTTCATAAGACCCTATCTCAAAAATGCATATATTTATGATGTATAACAGCCTACTTTAAAATATAGATTCATTTTGAAATGGCTAAATGAGGGTAATTAATATGCTTTACCCTACAGTCCAGCTTTTTGATTATGGAAACAAAATCTACTCCATTTGCAATTGGTTGTAAACTATGGTAATGTTGGACAGTAGGTCTCTTGAACTTTCTCCCATCTCACTGAATTTTGCATCTTTGGTAGATGGTAGGCTTGCATCTAGGACATGGCTGCATCATCTGTAAACAGATGCTATATTATTCTGGATTCTGGTCATCAAAGACAGCACCTTTCAGGGCCCAAGCTGAGGGGAAAGCATGCAAGATGGACTGTGACTTTGAACGAATGGCCTATCACTGACACTTGACTCAGACTAGAGTACTCTTCTCTGGAAGTGTAGAAGGCAGGGAGCCAGTGTGTGAAATCTCTGGCTGGTACTGTTGACTGCTATCCTCTTAGATGCTCAGAGAATTCCCAGTAGGGAGACATGGCTAGTTGAGATGGGCAGTAGCCTTCCTAACCAAAGTATAATGCCAGCAGGTGTTGTGGAGTCACTGCAGAGGGCCTGGCTGGTAACTCTGTTCCTACAGCCTGTGAATGTGAAGGTGTGTGGACACCAGTGTCTCTAGCCCTTTGCTTCTGAGCAGAACTTGTCTTAAGTCAATGACACCATGTCAACAGTGTGGGATACCATCACTTGCCTATGTGACAGATATCAAGGATCATTGTGAGCTGAGTTCTGAATGAAAGAGGCTGTGATTTCTGCCCCTAAGGAAATAACCTCTTCACCATAAAGGAGAGAAGCAGAAAACATGTACGCATTTAATAGCTTCACAGGACAAATTCACTTTCCCTTACTCTCTAAAAATGGAAGCTAATAGAGCTTACCCCCACTAAGCACCTACTGGTATGAAGAAAAAGAGATCATTGTTTGGTATTTTGAAAGTAGCTGGAATGCAAACCTGATTTACTTGGCTCCAGCCCCACCTGGCTGTAGGTTTTCAGGAAGCATTCTTGATTGAGTCTGGCCAATGTCCTGGGAGTTCTTTCTCCAAAGATCTGCACTGGGACCTCTGTTGGCCTTGACTTCTGTTAGGGACCCTTTTTGGTTGTGTGTTAAGTGCAACCCAGGTTCCACTGTCAGTCTGTCCATGGTGCAGGTGGGATTTGACTGCAGGGAGAAGGAAGCTCTGAGGCATCACCTATGCACCAGTGGGCACACTAGTCCACTTGGTTGTTTTAGCTCGGCTAGACATCTGTGCTGGCACACATCTCTACTGTGCCTTTGTGACCCCAAATCCAAATTTCCCTTGACTCCTACCTCACCTCTGTTTAGCAGAGAGAAAAGAAATGATGGTAAAAATCTAAGGTGACATTGCAGGATAAATAGGACAAAATAGGCAAAGCATAAAGATTAGGGTGAGGGCTGTTTACTAGCAAGGAAGCCTTAGAACAATACATGGTCATTTGAAGATCAGGCTTTTATCCCCAAGGGATTATATTAATTAGAATTGCATCTGGTAGGCAGTGGAAAGTTCAAGTTGTATAGGTTTAATGAGGTGGACGTTTTATTTTTCTCATAGAACACAAAGTCTTGGGTAGTAAGGCTAGGCCTAGGATGATGTCACCCTGATGCCATCAGGAATTCAGGCTTCCTTCTGCTTTTTATCTTCATATTTGTTGCCTTGTGTTCTCAAAATGGCCACTCACCATAGTATCACATACAGGTTTCAGGCAGGAAGGGAAGAATACAGACCATGACTATGTCCTTTAAGGAGCTTTCTGGAATGTCTCACCTAGAGATTTCTGCTTATACCTTATTGGTCTATATTGGGTTCCAGGGCCACCATTCCATAAGAGAGGCTAAGCTCATTACTTTTACAAACAAAGCTGTATTCTGTTATAGGAAAGAGAGATCAGATAACTGGTGGGCAGCCAGCCATGGCTGCAGTTGTGACACAAGAACAATGGAAATGACATCTTCATTTTTATATTGCATTCACATTCATTCATTCATTCATTTTATCAGCCTGAAAAGTAAGGAGACAAATGGATGGGCACCCTTCATTTTCCTAGAAGGCATAATGTCAGCACCCTGCCACGTCCACAGAGTATGAAGTCACAATACATAAAGCGTGCTGTTTCTGAGTTAGGATCTATGTTCTGGGTCCTACACCTCCTCCAAGGAGAGCTTGTCCCATCACTTGCTGAATCCCCAAGTTCAGGGAAAAAAGAATAGGAGAGAATTGTTAACAGTCATTCATTAACTATTGTTAACAGTCATTAACAATAGCTGTGCTCATTGAGTTCCTTGTAGGCAGAATTTCATTCCACCTTCATAACAATACTCTGAGTATTGTTATTACTGTTATTACTGTCATTCTTTTACAGAGGAGGACACAGAAGTTCAGAGAGGGTAAGCAATATACCTAGTGACACCCAGCCAGCATAAGGCAGAGCTAGGATTCAAAACGCGAGCTTGTCTGACTTCAGTGCCTAAATACAGACTGATTTCCTTTATACTGCTGTTTACCAGCTCTGACTCATTCCTGCATACCAGCCTTATCCAGCAAAGAATTCAAGTGTGGGTCTCAAAAAATTAGGAATATTTACATGTCATGCTTTATCAAGCTTGCTTATATATGCTCTAGATTGTCAAAGAGGACCTGCAAGGTTTGACTGTGTTAGAATCTCTCAGGTCCACCTCTACTACATGCAGAATTCTGATGTAGACTTGCAGTTACTATGCTGCTGACCGTAGTTGCTCTTGGGCTGCAGACTTTTCTGTGCACCTTTTCCTAACAGGTACAACAAGAATTGCTCGGGGGTCCAGAATGCAACTGTCCCTTTGAGCCTTTTCTCTGTAGACTTAGACCTTGAGTTGGCCAAATGGACTAACTCCTCTTGAATGCAGAGCATAAGGAGGGGGAGTCCTGTGGGCACCTTGGCCTTATAGAGCTTAAGCACTCAAGTCCTAACACACTTTGAGTGCAAGAAGTAATGGTGTCCAGTCCCCATGAGACCAAGTATATCAACTTCATTTTGGTAAGCAAGGCTTGGACACTGCAATGAAATGCTAGAACTTAATTCAAGGAAGTGTGGGGGCCTCCTGTCCTCACATAAAAGTACTTCCTGTCTGTTGGGACTCATTAGGATTCTCAAAGAGAACAGCACAGCCTGGTCTTTTAGAGAGCTTGTCTCCAAAACTGGCCGGCAAGTCATCCCCATATCAGGTTGGCAGGACAGTGAAGGGTAAAAGTGTCAAGAATTTATGGTCTAAAGGTGCATCCATGCTCAGGAGGGGTGGTTCTTCTTTCAGCCACTCCTGAGGCAGCATCACAAAGCTCTGACCTCCAGGCTTGGCTCCACAGATGCTAATTTCTGAGTCTTGCTGCAGCAGGCTGCGGAGACAGCTTTTTGATTATTCACTCGTTCACACGTGGGGTCGAATGTGCCATGCTTATGCCCTCTTCCAACACAGCTTTGCTCCCAGCCTGGCTGTTCCCAGTCAGTGATGTAAATGTACCAGCTGCTTCCCAGGAACCAGTCCGCATCCTGCAGGAGGGGCCCATCCCTCTCCCGGGCATCAGCCTGCTGCCTTCAGCCTAAGCCTTCTCACCAACCATGGTGGGTCCCTCCATCTCCCATTGCCTCATCAGAGATGCCCAGGGCATAATCCTCTTACAGGCCCATGATTTATAGCATGCCTTGATCTTTAGATTCTAAGGCAGATGCGTTATGGTCTTCTGATTGTGGGGACATGAACAGATTTGCTTAAAGGGGCTGCGTCGGGCTGACAGAAGGTGGTCAGGAGGAGGGCAGCAGGCTGCTCAGAAAATGAAGGCGCTTCTGCTGCTGGTCCTGCCCTGGCTCAGTCCTGCTAACTACATTGAAAATGTGGGCAACCTGCACTTCCTATACTCGGAACTGTGAGTCCCCCCATTGTGCTTGCTGCTGCCTCTGTGTGTGTGTGTGTGTGTGTGTGTGTGTGTGTGTGTGTGTGTGTGTGTGTTGGGTGGGGAGAAGTGGATTCTGAGTCACTTTCCCAGCTCGTCTGTCCAGTTTCCAGCAGTAAATTTTACATATACTGCTTATGCTTGGATAAAATGCCCTGCAGCAGTTAAAGCAGCATGGTTAGCTACTGTGTTTGACTTAACAAAAAAAAACACCATCTTACTGAATGTGCTGCTTCCCAACAGGGCATCCTCCACTTTGCTTCTGCGCCAAAGCTGCTTTTTTTGTACTCAGCCTTTTCTTGGTAGATGTGACTTTCTCCCTTTCCATAAATAGGACTGAAAGAGCAATTAAGATCAGCGCTTGCGGGTGGAGATCTGCATCTCTCATAGGGTATTTCGAATGACTAACAAAGAGAGTCAGTTCCCAATACCTGAAGATAGCTGTAGTGTCAGTCAAGGGAGAAAATAACCTTATGCATAAAAATATGTATCAGTTTTATTTTTATTTTTATTTTTGATAGTTTTAAAAATCTATTGAAAATAAAACACATTAACATACATATTCCCATCACTTCTATCACATGATTAATATTTTAGCAAGTTCAAGGCCAGCCAGGGCTATAGTGAGATCCTGTCCCAAAAAAATATTTTGCTGCAATATAGATAATAGATAGATAGATAGATAGATAGATAGATAGATAGATAGATGATAGATAGATAGATAGATGATAGATAGATAGATAGATAGATAGATAGATAGATAGATAGATAGATGAGAGATAGAGAGATAGAGAGATAGATATCTTTAAAGTAATCTTAGGTAAATTGAAGCTCTCATGAAATTTCACCTTCAAATATTTCACAGTATCCCTCTAAAACATGTTTTCTTACATGACTAATGTCTATTTTATGAGAGGAAATGACTTGGGCCCCCAGCTTGAGCATGAGTGTCTCTCCAGTCCCTTTTGTTAGTAAGCACTGGAAGGATTGCAGGCTTGTGGGAACGGTCTCTAGCATTCAGGTAAGAAGTGCTGCTCAGCCTAGAACATTTACAAAATGCATTCCTCCTATTAGCCAGATAGACAACTACAGCAGGAGTTAGTTTGTTCAAAAATTAGAGTCGGCGAACAAATGAGTTTTCCGTTTGAGATACGTTCTCTCTGTATGTAACCCAGGCTGGCCTCAAACTCTCGTCCTCCTGCCTTGGCCTCCTGAGTGCTGGGATGGAAGGTGTGCACTACTATGCCCAGATTAGTGGGAAAATGAGAATGGGGACTTTAAATGGGGTTCATAGAGCTCTGATTAGAAAATCTTAACTGGTCACACTTAATAGTGATGCCACTCATAGTTATATGAGGACAGTCAATGTCTCTTTTATACTTAACTGGACTGACCCATTTGTCAAAGGCAGTAGCTGCTCAGTAAATACTTGACAAGTAGAGCAAGCCACCCAAAGAAAAAATCATTCGTGTAGGAGACTCTGCATTTCAGGAATATCTGGTCTATCTTATTGGAATATAGCTCCAGTGCACCTGAGATCAAATGCTCAGAGATAAAGTGTCTGGTTTCAGCCTCAGTTGTGAGCATTTCTGGGGAAACTATGTATAACATTGCAGAAACTTTTCTAGAAAATTATGCAGCATCAGAGCTCATTAGGTTGTGCAGAGTCTCCTTTCCCTCACTTGGTGGCTGGGGTTGGGATCTCTGTAATCCAGTGCCCCAGCACCCTTCCTGCCACCCACCCACCTGCATCCTTGTCAGTCGCTGTATTAGTTTCCTGAGGCTGCTGTAACAAATGACCATGAGCTAGCTTTCTAGACCTTTATTTTTTCTTTGTTTTGGAGCCCAGATACTTGAAATCAAGGCACAAGTATATATTCTCTTCGACAACTGTAGGGGAAAATCTGTCCCTGCACTCTTCAGTTTCTGCTGGCACTAAGCATCCCTTTACTTGTGGTCTTGTAACCAGTTTCAACCTCCATTTGTATATGACCGTCTCATTTATGTCCTTTCCATTCAGTGTATGCCTTGTCTCCCTCCCCAACCTCCTTTTTCCCCCTGTGGTGCTGGGGATCAAACCCAGGACCTTGCACATGCTGGGAAAGCCACTGAACTGCATCCCAACCCCTCCTCTTCCCATAAGGACATTTGTCAATAGATTTAGGGCCTATTTGCACAGTCCAGGATGATCATATCTTGAGATAAATTGTCCATTTTGTTACTTTCAGCCTTATAGCCTCATTGAAGCCTAACAATTTTCTTTCTATAAATATATGAATCAAAGACAACATCTCTGTTGGCTAATTGAGTGGGCACAAGCAAGTCACTCTTTCTAAAATGTGAACCAATCTAGAAAGCATGATGCTTTCCAGCCAGGACAGGGTTTCCACACTTACTGGAGAGAACTTCCTCAGAAGTTTGTAGTTGCTGAGGTTGCTTTATAATGGAGCCCCATGCTTATTCTCTGTTGCTACTGATGATCATTAACAAATTAGTGAATCACTGCTGCATCTCAGGTACCTTGGCATGCACTAAGAAAACAGGCAGTAAGATCTTAGACACAGTACCTCATGCTCTAGAGTTGGCAACCTATTTGAGAAGATGGAATTTCTATACATAGGAAATGGAAGCAGGATCTAAGGTAGAAGGGGAAACATCTTTTCTTTATATATAT